CCTGTCCTCTCTCTAATTCATACTGTGACTGTCCCAGGGTGACAGCACCTCTTGCCAGCAGCATTCGAGCATTCAGCCAACTAGCAAACCGTGGACTGAATCATCAACTAGACTTGGTTGGTAGGAAAGTGGGTCACAGCTCACCTTGGTGAAACCTGTGCTGTCATAGGCCCTGTAAAATGAACCGAATCTCTTTTAAGAACACCATTGACCTGGAAGAATCCCCACAGATCTGTCAAGAGTGGTTACCTCCAGGGTCCTGGCCAATAGCTGGCGTTGTATTTTTACCACATGTGCTATTTTATCGTTTGAGGCTATTGTTGCTTTACAGAGAAAAAAAAGTGGGGTGTTTTCTGATCTTAAAATTTTGGTTGAAACAAAAGATGTGCCCCCCACATTTCTAAAATGTGAGGTGCTATTTGGGTAAGAACAGGTGTCTTTCTTCATCTCCTTAAGGTCTTCTCCCCTGATTCTTTGGCAATCAGAATTAACTCAATGGAAATGTTGGCAAACTCTCGAGTGAGACGTTTGTTTTCGTCAGTGTCCTGGCCATAGCTACATAATTGTTCTACTGTCTCAATTGATATCTGGCTTTTAATGTAATTGAATTTTTGCATATCCCAAAGCCACTCATGCAAATCAAAATAAAGGCTGCACTCAAGAAGCCGGGGATAATAACCACAGCCATGGGAGTAAGTGATGCTAATCAAAGTCCCATCTTCATCATTTCCTTTTTGGAGACCAACAGTTGAAACAAGTGGAATTGGGAAGGGAATAATTGGCCACTTGCTCCAATCCCCACTATTTATAATACTGATAAATTACACAAAAATAGAAGACAAAGCAACCCATTTTCCTTTGTGTGAGTTTTTCTTTCGGGGAAATTAGTGTCCTCTTCTGTCACTGCTCCTTGGTCACAACCAGCACAGCCCATGCTGACAAGTTTTCCAAATTTGGTAAAGTTGCTGGTGGCTTTCTTCCCTCTAGGTGCTTTTAAAGTCCATATGCAAATACATCTACTCTCTCTGTAAACCGCTGCAAAGCCCTTGCTAAATCACAAGATAAAAAAAAAAAGTTAACTATATACCATTTTCCAAAGTCAAGACATCCTCAATTCTTGTATTTCCATAAGGCTTCAGCTCCATTATGACCTTGTATGTTCACATCTAAGTAAAAATTCCACCACGTGGGCACCCTGTAACACACATATAATTGGATTTGTGTAAAATTACACTCACTGTAGATGCAGGCACACACAAAAATCTTAAATCCTTAGCTCTCCACTTAGAAAATGACTTTCCTGATCATGTCCTTTAAGAGCACTGCTCATCTGTGGCTAAGGGGACCATCAGAGATAATGGTTCAAGAACAATATAAAAAGAAACTTAGCAAAGTGGTGGCTGCAGACATGGAAAGACAGGGCAAGGAATACCCTGGAAAACAGCGGGAGAAAGCCAAACTTTAAAAGAAGCAAGATTTGATCCCCGTGGAAAAAAAAATTCTCCATTTGCAGAATCTGCAAATGTTCTGTATCCCAACTGTATCGGCGTTCGGTAACAGGTGCACTGCCAGGGCTGCATCTACAAGCTGGGCACCTGAGCAACGTGTGGAAGAAAAGGTCTTGAAAACCAGAACCCACAGGCAAACGTCTGTCTGGTTGGACGACTGAAGCATCTGGCTCTCTGCATGGTTTGGCGTTCTGCTTTGATTTTTCAAGAGTAATATAGATGTTCAAGTTACAAAAAACATGCTGGAAGACAATTGAGACCAGGGAAGCTGATTGGTAGTCATTCTTTTGCTCCTGAGAAGTTCTGCATCCAAACAATGGAATTAGTCTTCTGCCTTAAGTTATTCTTTTCTTTAGAAGCACTTTACAAACTGGAAGAAGTGGCAAATCTAATGAAAAAAAAAATCCTCAAAAATAAGAGTATCATGATTATTGTGGTCCCACAGATCATTGTTTAGGGTCATAGATTAAGGCCTTCTCTACTTCTCAGTCAGAACCCAAGTGAATACAACCTCTCAACGAACTGCCTGTTATTTCTTCTGCACCAGACTTCTAAAGGTGAGATGGAAAAGGAGTTAATAATTACGGATTTGTCAAAGGCCATTTTCTGGAGCTGTTGAAAAGGACTCTGCACCTCTAAGCCTCAGTCTTACACAGCAATGCAGAAACACAATGTCAATTATTCTTACTTCTAACAACTCTTTTCAAGGCAAAGTTTTCAAACTTGGACCATCCTAGTCCTTTCATCAAATGCACCCCAATTCTTCAAGACCTTGCTCATCCATCTAGCAAATGGTGACTATAGAGAAAGGCGTTTCCAAAAACCAGATGGGAGAAAACTTCAGAAATATAATGCTGGGCTCTCTGACAGCAGTAAAATATCTTCAGGGCCCTCAGACATGCGGTGAACTCATAAGAGGGTCTTTTTAAACATCCTTAACTATGTGACAATTCAAGTATCGGCTCTAGGCATGTCCACAAGTCCTCCAGCTCTCTGAGGTCATCTGTTCCTAAAAGTCCACAGTAAAGTGGAAAAGGCACTTCTTCAAGGACATTAGGGAGCTCTAGAACTTCTTGGGAGCCAAGGAATCTTGGAATCATCTAGTGAGGAACATGGCTAATCATGCTATGCAAGGCATTTGCCTATTTGGCTTGAGGTTATTGAGACAGTTGGATACAGATGAGTGTAGGGGGAGTGTTACAGAAGGGAGAGGCTAAAGGGTCTGCATCAGTAGGACTTCAAAGAAATAGGCAGGGTTTCCAGGAACTGCATTCAAGCCCCTTTTTCTTCCTAATTTGAGCTTGACTGAACCAGCCCTGGTGTCATGGCGTGATGGTTACAATAGTGATGAGGCTGTGTCCTCTCTTGTCTTACCTCCTCCCCGACCTGGGATTCAGCCTGGCTTTCTGGTTCCATCTTGGAGAAAGGATAAACAGACGCAGAGCAAGGACGGACAGGTCACCAGGCTGGTGATAGTGTGAGGGGAGTTAGAAGATCTTGATCCGAGACCATCCCATGGCCCATCCAGATGTGCGGGAAGGGAGTGGGGGGCTCTATGGGGCACAGTGACTGTGGTGTGGACACAGTCACACTGCTGTGGCGGGTGGCTTGAGGGATATACACATTGTCAATTGTGGGGGCGCAGACAAGGACAAACCAGCATGACTTAGTGATGAGCAGGAGGTCAGCGGAGGTGTGACTGAGATGCGCCTTCTGCTCTGTGCCTGGAAGGATGAGAAGGGCAGGGCCAAGGAGAACAGGGGAAAGAAGGAACCCCAGGTGGAGAGGCCCAGGGGAACAGAGTTGTGGACGCTGCTAGCGGTGCAAGGAGATGTGTGCAGAACACCTGCCCAGCCTGGCTGAGCAGCCTGGGATGCCGGACCAGAACCACCTTGAGGATCATGGTATTTTTCCAGCCGGAAGTGCTTTGTTCACAGGTGTTATAAGGGCCGATCTGCCCACCACCAGGAAAAGATTACAGAGAAACTGAGACGGCAAGGAGAGATGGGAATGTGGCACAAGCAGCCAAGGAGCTTTTGAAATAATCTCTGATGCTTTTGGTGAGTTTATTACATGCCAGACACTGTTCCGAGCATTTCCCACATTTTATACCATTTAATCCTCCGTATGACAGCATGTGACAAAGGTTTCTGTGCTTCTCAAGTGAAAGGAGGAAACTGAGGCACAGGAGGTGAAGCAAGCACCCAGGAGTCCAAGAGAGTAAGCACAGAGCACTGAGCTCTGCCCGGGGGCTGACTCCAGGCTGCAGGCTTTCCTGCTCCCCTACTCTGAAACTGTCCAAGGGAGACACATGGAGGGAATGTCCTGGGGCAACAGTCCCTGGGTTGGAGAAGAGGAAATAAAACAAAGGACATTTGCAGGGTGAATGTAGGTGGGGCTGCCTTCTGCTTAGGGAGGCAGATTATCTTGCTGCCGGAGGCAGAGATGACAAATGGCTGAGGTTTCCACTTTCAGGGAAGGAAAGGAAGGGGATCAGAATTAACAGGAGAGGGAGCCGCAGCTTGGGAGTGATAATACCATCTTGGTGCAAGGCATGTTAAACCAGGGAGACATCCTGGTTAAATGTCTGAAAATGTGTCTTTCTAACCTCTCCTTCCCCCCTCACTAATAAGACCTCCTGCCCCATCCCCGCAATTAGACACCCCCCACACACTTGCTGGGTACTTTTTCTATCACAGTCTCTCCTGCACCCTACTGCCCTCCCTCCTGATGGTCTTTATTAGAAGAAAGTCACTGACAGATGCAAAAGACTATTCCTTGTGCCATTTATAACAACAGGAGATTGGACGCAGCCCAAGTGTCTATCAATGGGCCTTAGAAATTGTGATGTGTCCCCACAATTCTGTATATTCAGCCTTGAAGGAGAATAAGGATGATCCCTGGTGTCATTAGGGATACCAAGATAAACTGCTTGTGAGGGGCGAACTGCTAAGTCACAGACACACACACACACACACACACACACACACACAGAGGGAGGGAGGTGGGGGCTGGGATGCAGATGCATATATGTCCTTTTTTTTTCCCCCATATGTGAAAAAAGAGATCTTGGAAAAAACAAAATTAGTCGCTTGTGGGTAGTTGCTGCGCATAGCTAGAGGGCACAGAATGAACGCTGCTGAACGCTGCAGGGCCCCGGGTATAATGATATAAGCTGGTTTTGGAAACACATAAATGTTATAAATATTCAAAAAACAGTGGAAACGTGCAAGGACAACATCAGAACTGAAGGGGCTGTTTCACAGAAGCTCCCAGAGGCCAGCCCGCTGTGGTGTGGGGTCTCGTGAACCGCCCTCTGAAGTAGAGGTGCTTGCTGGTGCAGGTGAGTCGGGAAATGGTGTGTGGGGGGGGGAGGGTGTCAGGAAGAGGGAGACAAAGGGCATCAAGAAGACAGAGGCCAAGAGTCCAGGACAAGAGAACAACAGGAAGAAGCAGCAAAGACGGCGCCAAGCTGCCCAAACCTCCCTTGGCTGCCGGGAATCTGTGTCAGTCGCCAACGCTTATTTTTAAGGTAGAAATGTTTTTTCTGAATTTTGGGGAGGGGCCTCTTCTCTACTGGCACTTTGGCTCCTGTGGCAGGAAACTCTTTGAAGTAACTAATGTGTCTTTGTTGTCCACGTGGCCCCCCTTTTTCTCCCTGCCCCCTTGGGGGGACTCCCCTCTCACACCTCCTGCCCCAGGGGAGGTTGAGCAGGCGGAGAAAGTGACACCAGGTTCCTGAACGCCAGAGGACCCGGCCACCAGCCTAGGTTAGAGGGGACTGCTCACAAGGCAGAGATGGCACCAGAGACTGGCACCCTCACACGGGCAGCCTGGCCAGGGGCCCCGACTTCCAAGCAAGACAGGGACACACAGTGAGGGCATGTGCAGAGAGGGGCCTGGAGGTGGGGTGGGTCTGCTAGCAAAGACTGGAGGATCCCCAGCTAGTCTTAGGCAGGGGACGCAATCCAGCAACTGTGACACCCATCGGGGTCAGAGGCTGAGCCCCGGGAAGGCGCGAGGGCCTCCCCTTTTGTCGCACCAACAGCTGACTGTCACGGGTCTAAAGTCAGTGGTGAACTGGCTACAGATCACTGCATGGTAGCAGTGAGGGATGCTCATTTAGCTGGGGGGATGAGAACGCGCGCCCCAACTCTCTGGTTCTTCCTCAGCCTTATCAGACGTGCTTCCAGCACCCCAGAGCAATAGGGACTTGGCAGAGGGAAACAAAAGCAGAGGGTCTCTGGCCTCCCCCCGGCCCCCCAACCATGCTCTTCAGACCTTGTCCCACTGGAACATCCTATGCACGCAGGGTGCCAGAGGGGCCCAGAGACAGCCCCCACTGGAATCAGGAAACCGCAAAGCGAGCAAAGACAGGCTTGGCAAATGTTGGGGGAAGATGTAGACCACGACAGTCCTGTCCGCCTTTATCTGACTCATGTGCCCTGGACCGAATTCCACAGAGGTCAAGCAAATATACTGGACTCCAGAACAGCCAACAAAATTGTTGTGCACTTTGTCCTGAAGGCAAAAAACAAAAGCAGGGTCAGAACAGAGACAGGGTGGAAGGGGGTGCTGGTGAAATAGAAGCCAAACAAATAAACACATAAAGGGACTCAGAGAATTCCCTTCTTCCACGTCCTGAGATTCAGAAGCCAGCCCTGGTTGCTACACCGAGCAAGGAGGTGGGCTTTCTTTTAAGCAACCCGCGGTTCTGGTTTCAGGAAACAAAGCCAACCTTTGCAGTTACATGAACTGGCAGGTGGAGGGATTACCTCGGGGTACGAAGAGGACTTTTCATAGGTCCAATGAACCCATAAGATTGTTACGGGAAAAAAAAAATGCTAAGGCTGTGTGTCAGACCCTGCTTAGCTTGGTGACCTGCTTCTCTCCCACTTCGCACACAATACCGCAATCGGGACTGACACTCCCGCTGGACCAGGAGCGCCCAGAGGGCTGGACTGTGCCTCTTGAGGCTTTAAGCCCAGTCACTTATCACAGGGTTAATGCTAGCTCGTGCCCACCCAGTTGGAAGCAAACAGATGGCTGGCCAGCTAGGTGGGAGCCCACGGGGCGTGTGTGTGTGTGTGCGCGCGCGCGCGCGCGTGCCACTGCCCAATTATGTGGCAGCAGGACATTCTCAAAGGTGTGTAAGGGTCAGGGCAGGTGCTGGGTTGGAGGCAATGGATAAAATCCCCTTGACTAAATGATGAGCAAATAGTCAAATAGTAACAGTTCAAGGCAGAGCCTCCAAGGGCAGCAAGAACCAGACGATTAACTGGGACACCGGAGCAGAAGCCCAAGCAGTGGGCTGCCTTTTGATGGTCAGGTGGTGGCCAAGAAGTCACTGGATATGGGGTCCTGGTGTGCTCCTTGGGCCCCCATTCCAGCTCTATATCTATCTTCATCCTCGCCCACCCATCCATCAGTGCCTAACTCTGCTCAAGTCTCCCTCATATGAAAAGGAAATGAAACTAGTCAACAGATAAGCCAACTTCTCTTCTTGCAGCCAGCGTTGGCTGAGTATCTCAACTCCTTCATGTACTTCACACCCCTGTGAGGTCACCCTGCTGGGTATTTCTCTCTACTCGTGAACAGCTCTCCCCCGGCACAGTGCTGATGTCATTGACCCACTTCAGGATGCAGCCTGCATGCTCCCACCTCAGCATCCCTCATCACTGGCCATTCCTCTTCCTTGACGTGACTCCCATGAGCTCACTCTCCTGTGGGGCTCTTCCCCCTCCTCCCTCTCCCTCATGGGCTCCTCCCCCTCCCACTTCCCACAGGATGTTGCTCCTCTTAGTGTCACTCGGAGCTCTTCTCTCCTGCTCCACACGCTGCAGTGAGATGTCACCCACCCCCTTGGCCTCAACACCCAAATACAGATCACTCCCAGATCTACACATGACCCCACATTTCTCTCCAAATCACCATATCTGTATAAACATGCAGGCCCCTTCACGGCTATCTCCCCAGGGCTCTGTAGATGGGGGTCCACCATGTGGCTCCTGTTCTTCTGGGACAGTTCAATCTAAAGATCCAAAATGAAACTAACAAGGACCAACTAGTAGCTGTTACAGGTGGAAGACTGACTTGAGAATCTCATGCCACTGATAAATTAAAAAGCTTCAAAAGTTGTTTCAGGGCCTCCCCAGTGGCGCAGCGGTTGAGTGCTGGGTTGCGAAGCTGCCCGCAGCCTCTGCAGGGCCAGTTCGATCCCCTGCTGCTCCCCGGCCCCCGGAGGAGGGTCCTACATGGTGCTCAGACCTCTCCTGCCGCCCGCTGCTCCCCTCAGCAGTGTACTTCGGTCCTTCTGCCTGCTCTGCTCCCCGCTCTGGCTCTGGTGAATTCTCTCATCCTCCAGTGCTTCTGACTGTGCCCAGTGTGTGTATAAATAAATAAATAAATCTTAAAAAAAAAAAGTGCATGTACAAGCATGATTCTTTTTTAAAAAAAAAAAAGTTGTTTCAGAGAAATATTAAATAATTGGTTTAAAACTGGTTAAAAATAGGTAAACTACAGTTGATAGCAGCTAAAACCAGCAAACGGTAAAAAAATATTATTGATCACAAAAGGATGAAAAACCAAAAGTTTACAAATGGAAAATTTGACATGGTGATAATAACAATGGACCTAAAGGAAACCTACCATGGTGAAAACTGTAATCTGGAAATACTGGACAAAGGTGAAGAAAAAGCCAAAAAATCCAATTTCTATTGTAAATGTACACAAGAAAGATTTTTATCTTTGGTAAAATAAAAATTACACTGCAAACAGCTAAAATACTCCATAAGGAAAATGGACCAAGGAATTAAATGGCCTTAATAGAGTTTACTAGAATAAATCTTTGCTGTAAAGTTCACTAGTGTTGATACCATCTAATGGAAATATTTATGTTCAAGAACAAAAAGCCAGCAGGTCAAAACATACAAGAGCACCAAATGATGAGGTCCAAGTGTCCTCTGCTCCCCATGGGTACTTCATACCCCAGAATTTCCACACTTTATGCACATTCTGTTCCCACCTACACCCAAACCACTTTTCCTGTTCTTCCTCTCCCTCACTCCTCTCCTTCCTCATCATCTCCCTTACCACCACCATCACCACATTTGAGCTCTTCCTGTCTTTCTGCCTCCTAAATATTTCTCAACATGCTCTCACCACCCTGTTTCCACTGCAGTTTCTGGTATGGAGGGAAGCCATCACCCCCTTCTAGGCACCATGCTCTTAATGGGCTGTGCTGATTAACTTCCCCAGGGCAAACTAGCCCACACACTATGAAGGAAGGAGATTATTTTGCAATGCAAATACAATCACAACCCCCTTCCAGATGCCCTCTGCCCCAGTCCGGCCAGCGAGGGCGCTCTTGGGGTTTAAATTCCAGCCACAACCCCACAGCCACTGCTACTCATTCTGCTCCCTGATCTTCATTGGCCATCCTCCCAGGCTCAAAGGCAATGCACATGCTTCCGTTTCCAGCCCAAATCCTGTTGTCTCACCCCAATCCTTAAAACCCCTGTGCTGGTGAATTCCTCCTTGTCCCTCAAGAATTTTCCTGAATGGGGCCTCCCTGGTGGCACAGGTGTTATAAAGTCTCAGTGCTATCAACTACCACCAGCCACTTGGACATGAGTTGGATCCCAGTCAGGGAGCTGACCCACATGGTGCAGCAGACCTCTCCTGTCTCCCCGCTGCTCCCCTCAGCAGTGGATTTCAGTAGAACCGCCTGTTCTGCTCCCCACTCTGTCTCTGGTGAATCCTCTCTCTCACTTATACACATACACACACACCTGCCACCTCTGACCTACACCCCAGTTCTTATATGCATACATAAACAAAAATAAATCTTTAAGAATTCTACTGAGAATGTCTGTCATCTTGTCTATCTCCCGCTAATTATAAAGTTCTCAGGGCAGAATAATATCTTGTTTATCAATGTTTCCAGTACAATGGCTCACGTGTAATAGGAACTTTCTGTGCATTTGTTAAACAGATGGATGGATTCTGTTTAATCTTCACAACAATCCTGCAGAGCCAGCATTATTGCCCTTATTTAAAGAAGCTCCAAGAAGTTAAGTAACTTGCCCTGAATTCCCATAACAAATAAGTCATTGTTAGGATTTAGCCTATGACAGTGTAACTGGTCTTTCTATGGCACCAGGCAGTGCCTTTCAATGGTTGCAACCAACACATTGTCCCTACCAATACAGCATTGAGAGTCAATAGGGGCCAATAACATATTAAAAAATAATTCTAACATTGTGTGATCATGCAGTTATAGATGTGTGGACAATGAATATCTACAGAAAAGAAAATGGCTATGGAGTAAGGAAGTTTAGGGGAGCCAATGAGGGGGTGATTGATATAGAACAAGAACTTCAGAATGAGTAAGAGCTTGACAGGCAATGTTGGGAAGCTAATCCTGGGCAGATGTAGATTGAGTTCAGTTTTCTCATACATCACACACTGCATCAGAATAAACTTAAGACATTAATATTCTCTCTGAGTGTGGGTAGATGACAAAGCTGCTAATGCCAATATTTTGACATTTCCAAACACTAAAGTGATTAAATGTCTATGAGTATAAGTGCCAGTGAGGATGATTTCTCAGAAGCCCCGTGCATTATGCTAAAAGCCTCTTTCATGGGGGCTGCCAGCATCCTCGGGCAGGCCATTATGAACGTATTTCTTCATGTCTTGTACCCCAAACAACCTATTCTGCTGTGTTCCAAGTGTTAATTAAAATTGTATGCTGACTGCCAAAGTAAAAGCGCTTACATTAAAATAATAAGTGTCTGAATTAAATGGCTCAAAACAGAGTCTACTTCCAAGTTGAAATAAGTTCTTACCCCACCCCATCCTTGTAGGGGAAGAAGACTGAGACTCAGACACAAAATGTAATAAACAGGGAATTCTTCCTGATATTTGCATTTTTTTTAAATAATCCAGAACTTTAAGGTTGATGAAAGCATCCTCCTACTCATCATTCCATTTCGCCCTGTCAGTAGACTGACATAGCTTGATGTGGGATATTGGGATAAAGCATGATATCCTATACGTAAGAATACATTGCCTGTCATTAAAAGGCACCTGTGATTCCCTGTCAAAAATCCTTTGTCCTATAGCCTTTGTCTTACAGCCAAAACAACAACAACAACAACAACAAAAAACTTTTAATTATCTCCTCTGCAGATATTATACTAAGATAACTTTTCAGAAGAAAAGAATTGATGGTGAAAGTTCTTCACTAGATATTGGACTCGGATACTGAGAATATGTAATAAATGTTCAATAACAGACTAATGTCTTAATTGTCTCACCTAACAATTACACACAGAAGTATAAGCAAATCTCACTATATAAGAGGCTCCAAAAGCTGAACTATCCTTCAACTTGTGAAGAAAGTCCAGAGGTATTTTTAGGAACCTTTAATCCTCCAGTTCTTCATTCCTTTTCCAAGTCACTCCTGGCTATGCTTCTGTCTAGCCAATGATCTCCCTCACCCACCATTTGTTCCTGTGATTCAGCCCTGAAACTCGGTCTTGACAACATACTTAAACTCATGCATCTTGGTACCTGTTCTCTGCACACGCCCTCCCTTCAGCCTCTGAGCCCCTCAGTGACCTCCCTCGACTGCATTTTCCACCTGGAAAAAGCATCTTCCAAGGCCCATTCAAATGCCACAGCCTTGTAAGCTGAGCTGGCTCCGCCAAAGCACACTCAATTCCATCTCTCCTTTGAAGAAACCAACCGTGTGTCTCGCAACCCCCCACGGGGTACTTACCACATTGAGATGCAATGTGATTACTTGTGGAGAAGAAATACAGCTCATTCATCTTTGCTACTCTGGAGCTTTGGGTGGTACCTGGCACATAAAAGCCATTCAACAGATGTCATCTAAGTAAGACAAACAAAAAAGCCTGTTGATTAAAGGTAAACAAAGAAGACAAACATGACAATTTAGACCAGAGCAGGTCCGTTCATCAGAAGAAAATAGGATTACAGCTTGTACCAAGTCAACATCATTTAATTTCAGCCCGAAACACCCTGAGAGATACCTAAAATCTCATAATTCTAAAACTGAAAGGAAGCTTCATGACAATCTAGCCCACTCTCTGCCAATTGAATTAGAAAATTAATTATGTGCTGAATTTCACTACCAGTTAGTGGTATTACAGAAACCTAACCCAGGTCTCCTGTCTCTAAATTCAAAGTTCTCTCTACTTTGCTCTCTCTCTTAGCTGAAGACCATTTCTAGACCACAGCCATCACTTGACATGAAATTCTAGGGTTTAATCCCCAAAGAGATATGTGACCCACTCTGGCACAAAGCGAAAATAAAACCCCCCAAAAATATTGTTTTGAGAAAACCATCTGTTGGTTAGAAATAAATGTTTGCAAGAGTGAATCCACCTGTGTGTTGATGTAGGTCATCTGAAAACATAGCCCATGTAAAAACATAGTTTAAAAAAAATTCACATTCAGAAAACAAATTCTCTTGGTATGTTAAAAAAAAAAAAAAAACACCTTAAATCAAAAGAAATATTTGCTTTTCCCAGATAGAAATCAGTTATACTGTCCACTAAACAGAATGCTTCTGTGAAATGCCAGGGAAGAGAATATCACAGGCAACTAGGCAAGTCTCCATGGAACATTATTAAAATGTGAAAGGAAAACAATAGTAGAAATTTAGAGTCAACCCATTATGGGAACAACTTGTTTTTTTCCCTTTAATTACTTAATACAAATTTGATGTTATTGTCTGCATTAAGATAAATTAGAAAATATGAAAAAGCACATCAACTTGGAAAAAAAATCAAATTGCATGAAATAGTATTGTTTACAGAGAGGATATCTAAATAACCATGTCAGACCATACATTTCAGCACCATACTCTTAAAATTTTGAATATTTAAAAATAGTTTATAGCACTAGGACAACTTTTTATGTAGACAATTTAGCTTATTGCACCACTAAGTATGGGTGAAAGGTCCGAGGAAACTTATGAGATGATCCATGACTAGTGTCTGATTTAGCGTCAGTGTTCTTAGCAATCAAATATTGATATCGGGCTATTCATGCCCGATTTTTAACCTCAGCATGTATCTGTCAGTGGGTATAGGCCTAGGGGAATGTGAATTAATGTTACCATCAGCTTAGGCAAAGCATAGTTAGGATAAACTGTCCTGACAAATAATTTTGTTAAAATCATGTTTTCTTTTTTATTATTATTTTAAAACATTAGCCACAGAACTGTTCTGTTCATGAAACTGTACATCTAAGTTGTATAATTATTAAGCATATACTGGACGATAAGAAATAAAAGTTGTTCATTAGTTAAAGCTGATACTAAATTAGAAATGTCAGAAACAACAAGTGATTTTAGGTACAAACATAAACTTAAACGATTGAAAATAAGAGGGGAGGGCCTCCCCGGTGGCGCAGCGGTTGAGCGCTGGGTTGCGAAGCTGCCCGCGGCCTCTGTGGCGCCGGTTTAAATCCCTGCTGCTCCCCGGCCACCGGAGGAGGGTCCCACATGGCGTGCAGACCTCTCTCCCCCGCTGCTGCTCCCCTCAGCAGTGTACTTCGTCCTTCTACCTGCTCTGCTCCCCGCTCTGGCTCTGTGAATTCTCTCACCCTCCCCGCGCGTCTGACTGTACCCATGCATGTATAAAACAAAACAAAACAAACAAACCAGAAACAAGTGGATAAAGCATGCCTCTATAAAAAAAAAAAAAAAAAAAAAAAAAAAAAAAAGAAAATAAGAGGGGAATATGGCAGATACAAATAAAAGAGCCATTTGAAAATCTAAGGCCTATAACTCAGAAAAACAAATTTGTTAAAGTTGGAAACATAACGCCTAAAGATTATTCTGAGAATCTGAAAGTCTACTTTGCATTTGTAATATATTTTGGTAATAAAGACAGGAGACAGACAGACAGACAAATATTTAGGTATGCCTGAGTAAACTTAAGAAACAGATTTTTACAGGACCCAGACAGTACATTCACTTTTATCTATCTCAGAAACCAAAAGGAGAAAGAAAAAGAAAACATATTAGACTGGAAACTGGTTAGAGACCAGAATGAAAATTAGTTACAAGGGTAAGAGTGCGTGATCTCACCCAAAAGAATTTAAGGGTTATGGACATAAAAGTTAGTCAGCTATCTTGATCCATGCAAGTTTAACTAGAAACACAGGGAAAAAAGTGAAAATTTGTTGTAAATATCATGTAAACTCTCCTGAGTACTCACTACTATGAATATTTGATAAGTGGCCAAAAGAAGCAATACATTACTCATTACCAGTGTATGATGAAAAAAGAATAAAAAAGACCAGATAAAACCCAAAGGGTTAGCCACAGAAAATGGTGATAAAATCTCCTGTTTCCCGAATTCTGAAATCAAAGCCATTGCTGGCTGAAGTTATGAGGAAGGATTCTGACAGCTATCCACAAACTTACTGGAAGCTCCGAGTTCATTCGGGAAAGAGAACCTTGATAATTAATGACTAAATGATTAAAGTCATTTTAAATATGACACTTTTTTTTTTTTTAGTGGAGAAAATGAAGAGAAAAATGTTCTTTCTCCTCAAAAACAGAAATCTGGAACAGAAAGCTTGCTAAGTCATCATCAAGGCCCTTTTCATCAGTATTTTGGAATTTTCCAGAAATTTAAAATCTAATAGACAATAAACCTTATAGCTGATTGTGAATAAAAATATCCTATTAGAAACAGAGTTAGGTTCATAAACTTTTATTACATCAATAGAACCTAAAAGTAGGTTTTTGTAATAAAAACTTCTGTTTTTACTTCTGTTCTATATAAACACAACATCTTTTATGAAACAAAATACAGTTTTCTGTAGGCCCTGTTGAGATTGCTTTCAGTCCAATATTCTCTGGTATATTCTTGTACCAGAAAAATGCTTTTAGAAATAAGATTTTGCTCATGACTGTTCTTAGTTGTTGTAATAACATATATTAGAATCAAAGTCACATTATTCAATTTGTGCTACATGTCCCAGAAAAGAACCGTGTTCCCACCCTCTCGAGTAAAGCCCGGCCAGGATAAAACATAATGAATACCAGTATAAAAATGATTGCTGAAGACAGAAAATATTATTACTGAAACTCAGAGATTCAATAAACTTACATAAATTTACCACCACGTTTTGCTCTGGGCCCAGCGGTATATTTTATTTCTTTAGAACATCAGTTGCAAAGCTGTTTCAGTTTTTTTAAAAAACATCCATTCGTACTCTTTCCTTTGTACACAACAGGGAATGAATTAAACTCAGCACTACACTTTGAGAATTACATATGTGGCATTTGTGGCTTGAAAATCAGAAGTTATGTACTGTTGAAATAAATTTTCATGCGATAATTAAAACTATCGCATGCGACGGTTCAATCTATACTACCCAAGTGACCTCTCCAAGGGTGATCGTCTCAAACACCAGTTCAGTTGCTGTTAAGGGTAGATTTTGGCATGATAAGGGAAGTGTGGTCAGAATGCAGAAACCTGAACCCTGGGGTGAGGACAGGACAGGTCAGCGAGAACCCAAGAGCCCTCTGTGAGGGGAGGAAGAACCAACACATAGACACCAAGAAGCAACGTAAAGACCTACTCACCTTCCTTGTGTTATCGATAAGCTCACTGATTAGCATACCCCCTCCCTTCCACATACCCCCTCCCCCATTCAAATTTTAGATCCAGTCACAAACTTTTTCATGCTTTTTGGACAAATCTTCATAGTATAAGCATAGCTAAGTATTTTTAGCCCGGGGATCCAAGGATTTTTCAAACAGGTCATCAGGGTAATCTAGTCCGATATACTATGTAGAAAGGTCTCATGTGTTACTTGAGGTCAAAAGTTTCTCTGTTTGGAGAGTTAGAGGGTTGAGGCCTTATTTGGATTCAGGGTCCTTTCAAGTCATCAAAATACTTGATGCTTAGGGAAGTACAAGGAACGAATTTCAAATTTATATTAGATGCAATATACTTCCCACTCTATCAAGAGATAAACTGCTTCGTAGTTGAAAAGTAAAACCTCCTCTGTCTAAATGAACCAGAGTGACCACTACTAGGAAAAAAAAAAAGGGAAATTGTATACTTTCCACTCCTGCTACAGAGTTAAGTATTGTCTCACTTACCCTAGAGAGACCGGAGGGCCAGAGTTTATGGCTATCATAAGATAATTTTCTGGAGCTCGAATCTATGAATTCAATGTATTTTGTTCAGTCATGAAATCACAATTACTAAATTTGTAATTGCTAGAATACAAAGTTACACAATTTGTTTTTTAAAACTGCATATACTCCTCAACGAATGTCCATTATTTAAAAAAAAAACAACAACTGTTTCACCGTTTTTGAAATACAATAGCTGCACGGAAGTTATTCTAACCATACTTTCCTGTGCCCCCTGCCTGCGAACACTGCTCTTGGTGGCAACCAACAGCAACTGAACTGGTGACAAGACAGATAGATGTCTGCCGTTGCGGTTCATGCAGGTGGTGTAGATTCAGGCACGGAATGAGCATACACTTATGAATACATGCAGATTCTTTACAAACTCTTAACTGAATTTGTGTAATTTTGCATGTATATTAAAATATAATTTTGAACACCTAAACCTTTCTTATTTAACAAGGTTTCTTTTTTCCTTTTCTCTTTTTATTGAGGTAACTGGTTTACAACACTGTGCATGACTCAAGGGTGTAGGATCACACCTCTTCAGAAGCATGTCCTCCACACCACCCCCGCCACCAAGGTACCCACAGTCTTCTACAGTCCCCTGGTCCCTCCCCTCTTTGCTCCTCAGTCCCATCCACCCCTCTGGAGGCCTCGGTTCAGCAGCCAGACTTCTAGAGTTTGTTTGGCTCATCTGTCTGTTCTTTCCCTTTAACGAAGCTTTCTAAACTCACTGAACTTTTTTTCTTCTTCTTTATTGTTTACATGTAAGAATATTCTCAACTTCTCATTTTCTTCTTCTCTTTCCTCTGGTGAAGCTGTTTCTCACCAGAGGAGTGGTTCTTGCACCAATGCTAGTTCCCTCATTAGTAGTGGAAGCCAGAGGCAAGCTGGCCATACATCACCCTGCTGTTTGTGAATTTCTTTGAGTTGAATTACAGCAGCATGGTGTCCTCCAAATGCTGCTGCCATCTGACAACTTAACTCAGAAGCTGTTTGGTGTCTTTGTGGCGAGGTCTGGAAATCCTCCTTTTGGTCCTCTTCACGGAGGTATGGTCTTGGGTACCTAGTCTGGACATAATTGCTCCCTTCCAGGATTGACTATTTCCATGGATATTGCATTCCATGGGAATACAATGCCTTTGCTCAAGGCCCTGCAGAAGCGATTGGGAAACACACTTCTGATTTTTTTCCCTTCCAGTTCCTGTGGAGTTAAAGGCAGGTGCAGGGCCTCCCCGGTGGCGCAGCGGTTGAGCGCTGGGTTGCAAGGCTGCCCGCGGCCTCTGCAGTGCTGGTTCGATCCCCAGCTGCTCCCCGGCCACCGGAGGAGGGTCCCACATGGCGCGCAGACCTCTCCTGTCGCCCGCTGCTCCCCTCAGCAGTGTACTTCGGTCCTTCTGCCTGCTCTGCTCCCCGCTCTGGCTCTGGTGAATTCTCTCACCCTCCCTCACTTCTTACTGTACCCAGTGCATGTATAAACAAAACAAACAAACAAACAAATAAATAAATAAAACATGCCTCTATTTAAAAAAAAAAATAAAGGCAGGTGCAATAAACCAATAAATTTAGTGCTACAGTAAGTAAAAACTGACATAGACAAGCAATAAAATCCCACTTCCCTCTTGACAATCAGTAAAATCAGGATGATTTTACACTATGAAAGATCAGAGAAAAAACCAGAACTTGAACACTAAGGAAACTTAACAGCCTTAAGATCAAAATAATTACAGCACTGGTCAGAGCATTTGATTTTGATGCATTAAAGCTCATTTTTGACAAAGTTTAACGCAAACAGAGTTTCATGGTGGTCACAAAACGCAATGCTCCCAACTGTGCTTGTTCCACTTTACAAAAGAGGATATAAAGAGGCCCCGGAGGCATTGCTGGCACCTTTCAGGAGGCAGGCAGAGGGTCAGTTCCCAGCTGTGGGGCCTTTTCAGTCCCTCTTGGTCCCTCACCACTGCCTCCTGCCCGGCTGCCAAGACGCCACCCTGGAAGTAAAAGAACATTAAGTTTTCCCCATTCTCTCCTTTTCTGCATGGCCCTGTTGGCAACTTGCTGAGAGTCTGCAACTAGGTAACTTATTAGTGATCACAAAACCCTGGGGGTCTCTGACGAATCAAGGGGAGCTGGTTTTGCTCTATCCGGGCCCATCAGTAAGTATCAGGTCCTCAAGTTTAGATCTAGGGGAGTTTGCATCAATGTTCCGGGACAAATGGGTTTTCATTTTGCTAATAAAAAAGGTAACAAAGGCGCAGGCGAGTTCTGAAGTTGGCAAAAGGGAAGCCGAGGCTCCAAGGCCCCCGGGACAGTAACCACAGGGGAGGCGGGTGGCCCCGGCCGCTCTCCTCCCTTGCAGGACCCCTGAGGGGCCGGGGGTGGGGACCCCTGTCTGTTGCCTAGTGGCGCGCCAGGGCTGTCAAGGGCGCAGCCCCAAGGAAAGTGGGTGCCCGAGCGATGACGCCAGGGCACCCGAGCGGCCAGGAGCCCAACGCCAGCCTGCCAACTCCACGCCAGCCCGGCTAGTCGCCCGAGGCGCCCTCCCCGCTCGGGCCGGACCCCGAGGACGCGCCTGGCTCCAGCCCGACCCCCCCCCCCGCCCCCGGGGGGGCAGCGGCCGCGACCTCCTCTCGCCGGGGGCTGGGGAGCCGCCCAGGCCACCCCGGGGTCAGGCGGCGCGCGCGCCCCGAGCTCCGCCGCGGGATGGAGTCCACCAGCGAGGGCGGCCGGGGCCGGACCTGGCCGGGTCGGGGAGCTGGAGCCGGGCCCTGCGCGCCGCGGCCTCGCGGGCTGTGCCAAGCCGGGGCGGGCGGCGCCGGCGCACTCGGGGCCCCGAGCGGGCAAAAGCGGCTCCGGGCCGGCGGCCGGACAGCGCGCTGACCGCGGCGCCCGCGCTCGGCCGCCCCGGGGCTCCGCCGCCGCCGCCCCTCCGCCCGCCGACGCGCGCCGCCCCGCCCGCGCCCGGCGGGCCCCCCACCCGCGCCCCGGCGGCGCCCGGCGCCATGGAGCCCCGCGCGGCCGAGCCCGGGCCCGCGCGCCCCGGCGAGGGCCGGAGGAAGATGGCGGCGGCCGTGGCGGCGGCCGCCGCGGCCGCGGCCTCTCACGCGCCGCTGACGCCACTGGCGCGCGCCGGCCGGCGGGCCGCGGAGGGCGGCGGCGGCCCGGGCCCGGCCGAGGGGCGGGGCGAGGCGGGGCGGGGGCCGGCCGGAGGCGGAGGCCGGGCGGGCGGCTGGAGGGAGGCGGCGGGCGCGGGCGGCGGCGGCGCGCGGAACATGGCGGGCGGCGGCGACGCGGCCGCCGCGGGAGAGGGCGGCGCGGACGGCTCCGAGCGGGACGGCCGCGGCGAGGGGCAGCAGCCGGGCGGCGGCCACGGCCCCCGCCGGCGCCGCAGCGCACCGAGACGCTGGGCTTCTACGAGAGCGACCGGCGGCGGGAGCGGCGCCGCGGCCGCGCAGGTGAGGCGGGCGGCGCTAGGCCGCGGCGGGGCGCGCGGGGCGGCGGGGGACCCCGGGCCGGCCGGGGCCGCGGGGCGCGCGGGTCCCCGGGGCTCCCCGGGGCTCCCGCGGCGCCGCGGCCGCTGACAGCCCGGGGCGCGCGGCCCGAACCCCGCGCCGGCGCCGGGCTGGGGGTCCCCCCGCGGGCGGCCGCGGGAAGTTGGCGCCCGGGCCCCAGACGGCTCTGGGGACCGCGGGGACCCCCGGCGCCCCCGCCGCGCCGCGCCCTGGGACCCTCGCGCCCCGGAGCCCAGCCCCGGGCGGCGAGCGCGCCGCCTCCTCTCGGCCAAGGTGACTCCTCGGTTCCGTGTTTCACGCGCACTGAACCCCAGAAACCTGTTAACGCGCCCGCGGGGAGGTTGGCCTCGCCGCCGCCCCAGGACGGGCTGGACCGTGAAGTTGGGTCGCTGGCCCGGAGCAGCCCGGCCCGCCCGCCCCGACATGGCACCTGCGAGCTCGCCCCGAGCAGGAGCTCGGAGCCACTTTGGGAAAATATGTGATTGCGGGGTGAGCAGAGATGCGCTGTGACTCCCGCTTCAGTGGCAAGTTCGGAGCGTGTTGTTGTGTGGTTCCTTGAAGCGATGGTTTTGTTCTCGCTTTTAAAGATTTTTGTACATTGCACGCGTGTGCCTGTTGCCCCGGTGCATTCGGTTTAAAGGAAAAAGATTTTGAGACGTCGTGTTTCGTTGCACGGGGTGATCACGTTTTAATTCTTACATAATTGTAAGTTTTTGAACAGCCACCGAAGCATAACTCAGTTAACGTTTCTCCCAGAGAGAGAATTGCATCTGGCGCCCCATAGGGACTGTATTAGCCGTCATTTCCTGCTGGTCATGCAAATAAATATTTATTTTGTATGCAGGAATTGAAAATGTAGGAATATTTAAATGTTCTAAGGCTCATCAGGTGAGATCCTCCTTGATTTGCTTATTGTCAGTACTCACTAGACATAGATTCAATTTTTGAAGAGGTCCATGTCTTTGAAAAATTAAGCACAGACGGTGCCTTGTTCAGTCTTTTTCAATCAACCACTTAAAAATTCTCAACTCTGTTGGGTGTAGATGTCAGTTAAACACCTGCTTGCAAGAGTATTTTACTTTTTGAATTGGCAGGTTGGAAGTAAGACAAGACAGTAAATCTCTTAGCTGTTTACTTACTTAGATTTGAATATTAAAAGTGCCCCAGTGCAATATTAAAAGTGCCTCAGTGCAAATAGAAACAAATGTGGTCAGGTTTCATTATAATTTTTTAAAAATATTTCTGAGTTTCAGGAAAGTCAGTGTTATAAAAGCCTCTTTTTGTTGTTTTGCGTGCACAGAAAATGAAGTTGTCAGGAGTCTTTTAAGGTACACAGATGTTGGGCCCTTGGAGTACCCCCAACATCCCTCCTGAGGAGGGGTCTGCCTGGCTGGTAGGGTAGGCCTCCGTAGAGTTCATCATGTCCCCACCCACATTCTTCATCAGTGTGACTGACGGAGAATGGTTTACTTAACATGTTTGAAGCTGGACTTTTTTAACCTATAATTGCAGAAAGTTATCATCAGGGAGATACTTCCAGTTTCAGTTGTTGAGATAGGCCTCATTGGCTCCCCAGTTCTATCAGTTATGTGGAGGAGCGATGACAGTGGCAGCTTTGGGGGATCAGGACATAGGTAAGCACATCAGAAACTTTCAGCTGGGGTCACCAGCCAGTGTAATGCCATCTGGGCCTCCACACAGGCCCCTTACACTGGGATCTGCCTCTGCTCTGCGTGGCATCATGGGTGAGCTTCCTGGAGATTGGAGTTTTTTCAGCCATCCGCAAAGGCCTGAGTGGTTTCTGCTTTCCCCAATCCCCCAGCCCTGCTCCTTCCCCTGCTCCTCAGCCTTTTCCTCTTCCCCTGTCCAGGGCTGGCCTGGACCAGAGGGGCTTCCCAACTCTTGTTCTGTGAGAAGTGTTTTTCCCAGAATCAAAGGTATTCCCAGAATCAAAGGTATTCCCGGCCAAGGTGCTGGCACTTGACTTAAGACCGCCCTGGTTTTATGGCCTAGTGCCCGGCCTGCCTCAGATGCGCCAGTCACTCTTCCTAAGGGAGGGAGCCTTTGTTTTGCATTTCTGAAAGTCATAAACTGTGTGTTGGTGACCTAATCATCCGTTAGTTCCAAAGTCTCCTTTATCATTTCTCTCAAGGCATTTTGGGCTCTTACAAATAAGACGTTGGTCAATCTATCCTAAAAACTTAGAATTCCTAAAATGAACATACAAATTAGGTGTTTTCCAAACCCTCCTGTCCAATTAAAAAAATCTAACTACATTGTTCATATTTTTTATTTTATACCTCTCCTTGTTCGTATATATGGCTAGAAAATAAATGCATGGAAACTAATTTGTGTATATACAGCTGTGTATACCAAACACTTGGATCTCTGTGAAGCTTTATTGTCTTTCCAAAGTCTTCTCTGTCATTTGGTTGGCCGAACTCGTGCTGTGACTTCTGTGTAGCATGACAGTGGACTGGAAATCTCAAGTGCCGGTACTTACACCTCAGCACAGGTAAATGTGGACCTCACTCCCGCTCTCTGCCTTTGCCTTAGGTGGTCACCGGTCTGGGGTCTGGGTTAGTGGGCGTCAGGAACTGCAGCTTCATCTCTCCTGTCTTTTATTCCAACTCTGAAAAATACTACCAACTCTTTTTTGACATAAGATCAGATGATAAGACATATCACCCTGTTTTTGTGCTTGCTCTCCACTGGACTCTTAAGTGGGAGAACTTCTGGATAGCCATGTTCCCATTTAGGGATCCAGGTCCAGCAAGTCAACTTTGGACTAAGAATTAGGCAACCTGTTCTTGGCTTGGTTTGGCTGTTGGATTGCTCTGTAGACTCACACTTGTTTACACTGCTTGCCTAATCCATTCGGCTTCCTTTCATAGCTCTAGTAAATACCTTAGTATCTGAAGTATTTAAATTGGCTTTAGTAACCATGGGGACTTCACAGTGGAAGACTTGGGATAACATAAATATAACACCTACTGTTGCGGATGAGATAACGCAGGTGTCGGGGCCTGTGCAGGGTAAGGTCTTGCTGACAAAACCCAAGAGCCTAGCGCAGGGGCTGGACCAGACAGAGCCTTGTTTCTGACCGTGACCTGCCATGGAGACTGTTTTCTCCTCTTTTTTAATGGTAGCGCTTCACCTCTGGAACTGGAACTTGTCATCCATCTCCTGTGCTTCTCTTCTCTGCTCCACCCAAATGCAGACCGGGTGCTTTTCCACCACGAAGGAATAAGCAGAGGCAGAAATACTGAAACCCCAGAAACCCACTGCTCTTCATTTTAGCCATTCTCACACAAGATTCTGAGTGAGGTGAAGGTTTTGACTGTTCCATATGTCCTAGTTTTTGTGGTATTACAATTTGTTAAGTTCATTTTACAGATGTCATATTTTTATTTAAGTGTGTGCTCTTTTAATCAGCCCACATCCACAGGGTTACAGTTACCCTGTCCCCAGCTTGTCCTGATGGAGGAATAAATGCTGTGGTTCGGAAATTATGCTCTAGAGTACAGTGATTTCCCATTTACAGAGGAAAATAAGGATAACTGTAAAACTGACTGGGAAACTTGGAGTGAGCATGATCCTGATACGGATAAAGTCAAATTAGTTTCTTCTTTTCTGGCAGACTATTGCCCTGCTCTTAAACTTCTAGCTCACTTTACTTAACTAGTTCATGCAAACTAAACAAAATGAAAAGTTAGTCATTTTGGTCTTAGACCAGCTCAATATCTTAACTTTTTAAAATGTGTAACTTCACCTAGTTTACCCTCCAGAATTCAACCCTCGCAGCTTGTTTGCAGCTCAGTTTAGGGGAGGTTCGTGTAAGAGGGCTTTGGGAAGAGGGTGGCAGTGACTGACAGATTAATGACACCGTGTTTCCACTTTCAGTCCTTAACTTTGTAACCTTGTGACTTGGAAAAAGGCATTACTTTTTTTATTCCTGCTTTCCGTCTAGAAATTTATGAAAATCCGCCAATACTCTGCTTCCTTAAATGAGACCATTTATGAACAGCTCGAGAGTCTTAAAACCTTGTATGGTGCCTTCACTGCATTTGATTTGAAGGCAGAATGACTGTTGTATTGATTCCTGGTTAGCCATGTCCAGGGGCACTTCTATATTTGTGTAATAAACTTAAGTCCTATTTTTTAGTGTAGCCTTAGGAACATAATTTTACATTATTTAAGACTGGAGATCTGCATGTTTCATAATGTTTTCCTAACTGTTAACAGATATTACTTCCCACTTTTTTTAATGGTTAATGGTCAGTGCTATTTTAAGAAAGATATATTTAGACTTATTACTTAGCTTATAAATATACTTACGGTTACTCATTACTTTTAATTAATACTTTTAAATCCTGTATTCTTATTTCTAGAACAAGCTCTCAAAAAACAAGTAAACATATTTCTTTTAGGAATAAGGAAGACGCCTGTAATGTACTATACTTTTTCTGAATTTGAGATATTGGATCACAGAGCAAGTGTGTGTTAGGGCTGAAGATTGATGAAAAGTACCCTGCAGGAATTGAGTTGGCTATATGATTGGCATAATTTTCCTTCTATTAAATATTCACAGTTGTTGAAACTTGATTCTCAAATGTAGAAGCACTTGTTTATAACCAGTGAAGTACTTTTTTTTTTTTTTTTTTTTTTTTAGTTCTTTTTTTTTTTAATAGAGGCATGTTTTTATTTATTTATTTATTATATTTGTTTGTTTTGTTTATACATGCACTGGGTACAGTCAGAAGCGCGGGAGGGTGAGAGAATTCACCAGAGCCAGAGGGGGGAGCAGAGCAGGCAGAAGGACTGAAGTACACTGCTGAGGGGAGCAGCGGGTGGCAGGAGAGGTCTGCGCACCATGTGGGACCCTCCTCTGGTGGCCGGGGAGCAGCCGGGGATCGAACCGGCGCCGCAGAGGCCGCGGGCAGCTTCGCAACCCAGCGCTCAACCGCTGCACCACCGGGGAGGCCCTAGTGAAGTACTTTTTTAAAAAGATTTTTACTAAATGATGTTCCCTCTTAGAACTGGACATATGAAATAAAAATGATTGACATCTAATAAGTTAAGAAAGCAAACATTTGGATTTTTTTTATGGAAAATGATTTCTTTTAAAAAAAGTCAAGACAGATATTTGGGATAACCAATGAGATTGCTTTTGCTAGGGAGGAATGAAGTGGCTCCACAGCCCTGGGGAAGTTCAGGTGCACTTGGCTGACACATCCTCCCAGAGGGTGCCCAGGGTAGGCGAGAGAACAATGCCCTTCCCAGCTGATTAGCCCCGGCCTGCGCCCAGCATCTGGGGCCAGACTGCTCAGGTGAGGCTGTAGAAGTCAAGTGAACACCCGCCGAGGAGAGGAGAGGAGAGGAGTACTGGAGCACAGCAGCCCGCAGAGCAGACAAAGCCCCATCCTTCCGTGTGGCAGGGTCTTGGAGAGGTGGGCGCCACCCAGGCACAGCCACTGACGAGAGGCTCAGGGGCACGGGCTGTTGGGGTCTAGGGCTCTTTCTGCCTGGTCTAAGGTGCGCCAGGGCCCCGCTGACTTCTCTGCTGTGGCTGTCACACAGAGGGGACGGTGGCCACGGGACCGGGCGGCGAGCACGCTGGCCTTGGCATTCACAGATGGAGCTTCCGTTCCCAAGGGCCCTTTAGCTCTTCAGTGACCTGGGACAAGCCTCTAACCTCTGCATTTATTAGCAAAATGTGGACTCCACTCCCGACTCTTCTAGAGCTCAGCATTGTCCTGAGAATTCTGTGATGTGGCCAGCGTGTGCAAGGCCGTGTCAAACTCAGTGCCATGGAGTGGGAGGGTTCCAGTCCCGTAAGCAGGGCCAGGTCTCCAGAGTGGGGCGAGGGAGGTAAGAGGAAACTTGCGAAATATTTCGCCCTTGAAGCTTGGTTCTTTTGTTAGTGCTGCTTTAATGTGTCTTTAAAAACCCGTGTGATCGCTGCCCTCATGTCTGGCGCGCACTCCATACATGGCACCTGATCTCAGACTCACAGTGGGTTTTTAGTATAGAACTTCGTTCAGAAGATGTGACTTAGGTTACAGAGTTTGTTAAATACCCTCATCATGTTACCTTTTATCCCTGAAACCAGAATTGCAGTAGTAACATCATTCGGCATTGGGTAACCACCAAACCAGGATTGGTTAATGCTACAGGCTTTTGAAATTATTAGTGAGTCTCAAACATGGGGTGATGCTTCTGCGTTTCTGTGCAGATCCCCTGTCCCCCAACCGTGTCACTTGGCAGACAAGCCCTCGGCCTCACGCTTCTGTCACCTTGCACTCTAGGCCATGAGCAGGGCCTGGACTACTCTGTGACAGAGCTGGTGCCAAGCCCCTCTCCACTGGCCATCTCTCTTCTCCTGCAGCACAGCCAGACGCTGCTGTCGTCAGGAAAGACCCCGTCATGCCGGCCTAGCTAGCTCAGCCTTCTGATTTAATTTGCTTTTTTAAGTGGGAAATTGTGTGATGTCCTGTTTTTGTCTCCTACGCGTGTCGCCATGCCAGTGCTGCCGGCCCCACTGTCCCCTGGTCGTGCACGAGGAAGGGGCTCCTTCCCTCTGCCCTGGCCCCGGGCAGCTCTGGCTCAGGCTTGGCCTCTCTGGCATCGTCTTCACTGCCTCGGCCACATGGGATTTGGGTTTCTGTCTTGTTTTCTCTGCTGTGCTCTTGTCTGGTCCCCGTGTCCTTTAAGCAGGCATGGCTTCAGCATTGGTCCTCTCCGTGTCTGAGGAGGCGCAGGAGGAGGAGAGACTCAGTCAGGGAAAGGCCTGTGGCGTGTCCGGGAGCCCAGGCTGGGGGGCGCCGTGGCCGGTTGGGAAGGCTGGGCTCTGCCCGCCGGGACGTGCGCGGTGCACCAGCACTCACGGAGGGGAATCCTTAGCCACAGGGCGGTGTAAACCTGTCGATGTGTTGGCAGGAAATGAAAAGTAGTGTGAGCGGAGAATGGTGCCCCGAGAGCTGGGGGGGGGGGCAGGTGAGGCGCACCGCGGATGGGGTCTGGGTCAGCTCTGCTGAACAGGCGGGCCCTCACCTGCCCTGGTGGGAAGAGGGCCTGGGCAGAGAAGGGGCAGGAGGAGGGAGGCAGCAGCCTTGGGAGAGACGACGGGCAAATGAGGGTGAGACAGAAGAGGGAGAAGAGGGAGAAGGTGGCAAACCTTGCTGAGGAAGAGGCGGTAGCACTAGAGGTGGGAGGGAGAGCGGGGTGTCAGATTGTCCTCCAGCTTCTGGTGTCCAGCTGCCTCCCTGGCTGTGCCCAGTGCGGGGGGGGGAGGTGAGTGAGGATGGGTGGGCTTAGTGGAGAAGACACTGAAGTCGCTGCGGCAGGTTAGGGGGGTCTCTGGGGCCCCAGGTGGAGTTGCCTGGAGGCAGTTGGAAATACAGGCCAGGCTCAGCGGGCAGACCTGAAGAGCCTGTGACTCTGGGGTTTGGATTGTGGGTCTCACCTCTGACCCACCTCCCATGGCCAGTGACTCACGTGCCATCAGCAGAGGTTGGAGGAAGCGCCGACTTAGTGGGGGGGCAGGCAAGAATGGGGGACTCCAGGTCAGGTGCGGCGCAGAACTGTGGTGAGTGACCGCCCTCCAGGCTCATGAGCCAGAGTTCACTGGTGCAGGCAAAACATCTAAAAGCAGATTCTTCTGCTTTCTGTATGTCCTGTTGCCTCTCAGTTTTTACAGGAAGAAAATGCTATGCCAGATGCCAGCTGATCAGAACATCCTTTTCTTTCTCACGGGAGACCGAACTGAATACGATGGTGGATCGTCACTAGTTTGGGCTGCTCTTGTCTGCAGCTCAGAGGGGCTCTTTTCCTCCTCTTCAGACAGCAGCTCTCACACTGGGTCCAGGCTGCCCACAACGTCCCGAGAGAGTCCCCAGCCAAAAACTTTCTCTCTGTGCACCGGGTTATCCTCTGCCGGTACCTGCACTAGCGCTGACGTCTGCGCTCGTGGCTTCGGCTGCAAACGCGCTGAGAGCCTCACGGCGCTCGACACGTGGTAGGAGTTGCTGTCCTCCTGGGTTCAGTGCCCAGATGGCTCTCATGGTCTCCCTGCCTCCAAACAGTGTGTGAACCTGGCATGAAAGTGTGTGTGTGTGTAATTTTTTGGTGTATTGTTACCTTTGAATATGGAAGTGAGCTGCTAGACCCGAAGCAGGGAAGGTCACTGTGAGGAGGCAGGTGGAGGAGCGCCGGGGGTGCTGGGCTTCGGGTACAGGTGTCACGTGACAGGACCAGGTCAGCCTGGGCGGCCGCAGCTCCCCACCAGGTCTGCAGAGAGAGCCCAGCACAGAGGCTTCAGCCTCCTCTGGCCTGAGGTGACCCCATGACTGTAGGTAAACAGAGGGGTGGGCAAACGGACAGATCAGGGGAAGGGGCTTTTCCAGAATTGGCTGATTTCTGCCTTGTGTAGCTTATCATGCTCATCATCCTGCTGGTGAGCCAGCCCCCAGGAAATGGCATCGTGCACACACTCGCACAGAGTCTGCGACGCTGCATCGCGCGGAACCCATGTCGTTCGCCCGGGATGGTCTGGGGCTTAAGCCAAGCCCGTGAGGTGACCTGGCTCCCTTTCCATTCCGCATGTGCAGTGCCCATTGTACGCACTCTTGGTATTTGCTCTCTTCACCTCCCGTCATCTCTCCAACCGTCCAGGTCCTAGGTCACCGTTGAGGCCAGGGCAGGCTCTCCAAAGCGCCGTGTGACTGCTCTGGCCCTGTCCGAGTCCCTGCTGCGCCCCTGGCATGGCAGCTACATGCCACCACCTTCTTGGGGTCTTGGCTGGTGACTCGTGTGTAGTTTCTTCAGTTCTGGGCACGGAATCAGAGTCCTTGGTTTTATTCTCATTGTAGAGCTGCGTGACCTGTGGCCCCAGCCCCCAGTGAGTTCCTGATAAACACTGTTGTCTTTGTTTTGTGTCCTCTTTCCCGTAGAGCTCTCGCTGCTGAGGTTCCTCAGCGCTGAACTAACCCGAGGGTACTTCCTCGAGCACAATGAGGCCAAGTACACAGAAAGAAGAGAGCGCGTGTACACTTGTATGCGAATACCCAGGGAATTGGAAAAGGTACCATTTTTTTTCTTATTTCCAGACATCATTTTAAAAGTAATGTCAACATGTTCATCATACCTACTCCCTCCCCCTCGCCCCCCCGCCAAGATGGGGACAGCTTGAGTCGAGTTTTGCTGGAAATGATGTGATCATAGGTAATTAAATATATTGGGAAGTAGGAATTCCCTATATAGGGAGAGTATTTTTTAAATTTTAAATTGTGTTTTTAGTGTCCACTCCAGTGATTCTTGATTTTGCTTCTTACTATACATGCCAGATTTCCCTTTGTGCCCCAGCCAGCTAGCTTTTGCTGAGGAATGAATCTCCACTTCTGTGCTTCCTTAGGTCTTTCTGGTTTTTTCCCCAGTTGACGTGATAAGTTACTTAATTTTAGTCCTTTTTAATGTTTTCATTCCTCAGAAAGTCCTCATATTAAAAACAAAAATGGCAGTCACTTTAAAAAGAAAGGGAATTCATTTCACCTTCATCACAGAAGGCAGCACGGCCCGGGGCGAGCCTAGTGACTGCAGCACCAGCTCTACATGCCACTCCCTCCCTTGCTGTCTCAGGCCCACGCCAGTCAGATAGCATTGCTTGGGCTACCGGTGAGTCTGAGCAATTCCAGATTTCTTCTATCGGGACATGTCATACTTTTGTAGTAGCATAAAACTTGGAATATTCTGATCCCTTTCTTAGAATCCATACTCTCTGTGACTGGGGTGGGAAGAGCTTGCTGGGTGGCGGGCAGTGAGCAGAGAGGGCCCGCTGGCTTGCTGACGTGTTTATTCCTGATAGTTCTTCTGTTTGGTAAAAGGAGGAATCAGCTACGGTGGAAAGGGCAGTGCGAGGAAGGTGGCTTCACCTGGTCTTCGGGCATGTCCCATGCTGAAGCTTAGGAAGTTCTGTGCCAGGTGGGGCTTTGGAGAGCTGGAGCCAGCAGGAGCAGACGGGCAGTGAAGCCGTCAGCTTTGGTCGGGGTGGTAAAATGTGCTTAGTGACTGCTGCTCTTCTGGGAGCCCTGGGGCTCCGTGGGGGAGCCGGCTTTCTGGGGCTCTCCTTTCCAACCCAGTGATACCTTCCCGTTGTATCTGTGTATATTCAAGATTGGGGAGTTACAGTCTCTTTGAGTTGCAAAAATAATTAAACCAATTGTCATGTCTTTCTTCACATATTTTAAACTTGCTTTTCAGAGATGACTGCTTTTCCTCCCATCAGTTACAATGGGGGGTCATCCCCTGCCAAGCAATTCTAGTACACCGGCTCCTTGTCCTCCAAGTCAGCTCAGTCCTGACACTGCCCGAGAATGGCATCTGAGTCCACAGGATACAGGGTCATCCTGCAAGGCTGCCACACACCCGCTCAGATGCCAGTCACAGACCCAGGATGTCACCTGGGCTCCTGGCCCGCCGGCTATAAACTCGAGGTTCCAATGACCCCATCATTCCAAAGGTTTTTTTCAGAGCTCAGTTCCAAAAAGACCTGGTTATTTGCCCAGGCGCATGGAGGGGAGCAAGGACGGGGCCACATCTAGCCTCCATGTTGGGCCTCAGCCTCCACCAGCAAGGGCTTCCCACCTGAGCAGCCCTGGGTTCCTATGCTTTTGTCCTCTGGGGAGAACAAGGGGATCCACCTGCAGCCCACAGCCATGCACCGGACATAGCAGGGGCTGCTCCTCGGTGGGGTGTCTCCTAGCCTGAAGCACTGAGCCCCAACCCGCCCCCCTCACTGTCCCTGGTCAGGGCCGGCTCAGTGCCCGGCGCTTCTCTTCGTCATTTCTTAATTTTTAATATTTATTTATTTTGTAGAACCAGGGTATAGTTCTTTATTAGCTACGTTGCAATAACAAGCACACTTCTGGGTGGAGATCTCACCAGAACGTGAATGCCTCTCACATTGTTGATGTGAGTATTGAATTGTCTTTTGGGGAAGTGCCCACAGGTTCGGGAGACGCAAGTGTGGGTGGTGTTTTCAAACAGGCTCCATTATGGTTCTTTTTAAATTTTTTTTTTTTTTTTTTAAGCACGGAATGGAGGAACAGGGAAAGTGTCAGGGTGCAGGCCTCAGGGCACAGGCCTCATCTGTATGTCTGTGGCTGTGTAGCAGCAGAAACGGTGGGCTAACACTGCTCCTGCACAGTTGTAAGAATTCCCTGATCCTCTTTCTCAAAACAGGGGCTTTGGGCATTGGGCCTTTTTAGGAAATTTGATGTAGGCTCCTAGAACAACACTTCAGAAGCCTTATAGTTAAAAATACACAAAAGGATGTCATATTTTTCACTAGAGAGCCGTGTCTTCTTTTTTTTTTTTTTTTTTTTTAAAGATTTATTTATTTATTTATCATTTATACAAGCACTGGGTACAGTCAGAAGCGCAGGAGGGTGAGAGAACTCACCAGAGCCAGAGCAGGGAACTGAGCAGGCAGAAGGACCGAAGTACACTGCTGAGGGGAGCAGCAGGCGGCAGGAGAGGTCTGCGTGCCATGTGGGACCCTCCTCCGGTGGCCGGGGAGCAGCCGGGGATCGAACCGGCGCTGCAGAGGCTGCAGGCAGCTTCGCAACCCAGCGCTCAACTGCTGCGTCACCAGGGAGGCCCGAGAGCCGTGTCTTCTTAACATCTAAGTGCAAGTTGGAGGAAGGCCGAGGGAGGCAGCTGAGTGAAGGCCCCTCTGTCCCAGCATGACTGGCTCAGGGACCAGCTAGCGCTGCTCTGACTCTGCCGAGGCCCGTGTCTTAGATGTGTAGATTTTCTCGTGTAAGAGATGGGAAGCTCTCTAGACAGTCATCTTAATATGCTATTTTTTTAGTGGTTTCCTTTCTGTTTACATTTTCTATTCTAGCGTGTAACAAACACTTTGCCCGTTTTTTTTCTTTTTTAAAAGTAAATGCTATGATATTTTCACATAACCTTTTCAGGAAGAGAGACTTGATAATTAAAGAGCACTTTGCTTCTACAAGGGTTGCAAATACTATAAAACATGAAATTAATGTTTGTATTTAAAGTGAAAAGAAAGGTCACCTCACTATCTTACTGAATGAACTTTTTACTAATGTAAAAAAAAAAAAATGCCAGAATTGTTGTTAGTGGATAAACACAGTATTCTTGACATTTAATAAGGGGATTTGCTTACATCCTTAAAATAATAGTATTTCTAATTATGAGTACTTTCACTCTCTCATTCTAAAGTAAGAGTGTAAAATCTTGTTGACACTGGAGGAACATTCTTTCCTACTGCTAATCTCTGCACCTGCTCCCCCACCTGGGTTCTCTTCTTAGATCGACTCCTAACTGCTTATCTGGCCCACTTTGGGGCCACATTGTTCTCCCCCAAGTAGCCCAGGAGGCTGTGCTGCTGGCTGCACTTTTGAAGCCGAGGCCAATGGGAGGTGCTGAGGGAAGGAGCTGCAGCCTCTGCTATCTGGCGCCATGATGTGTGTGCGCAGGAGCCGCCCTTCTGCCCCAGGCCTGGGTTTCTTGGTCCTGTTAATTACAATGTCAGCCCAGTATCAGTGTTTTAAGATCTTTTACTGTTGTTCACTTCAGCAAACTCAGAATGCTCTGCTCTTGAGAGCAAGAGGAATGCCTCAGGTTCCTGTCCCCAGGGTGCATCCCAGCGGCCTCTCTGTGTGGCTGTGACTGTACTAGGTGGCAGACGAGGAGGGGCCCATTCTCCCGCTTTGGTCCCCGTTAGGCTGTCAGTCATCTTGCTGCTGTGCTGGACCTTTCTAACCCTGCCATCCCCGGGTCCTCTGGCTCTCCGCCTCCTTCCATGGCTGACCACAGCCAGGAAGGGCCTCCAGGGGAAACCTGCTTTCTTCCCTCTTTGCTGCCAGCCTGGTTGCCTTGTGAGTAAAGGTGCTCTCTTTGAGGACATAACTGATGGCCGTAGAGATAAGCGCTCTATCACCTAGATATTTTCTGCCAAACCCTCTATAGTCTGACCTGGGGGCAATGAAGTCTGAGTTAGGACAGGGGAGGCGAGGAGGCAGTTTCCTTGAGAGGAGGTTCAGGTAAGAGTGTGTGTACTGCCCTGTATGGCTTCTCCATTCAGCCAGTTACATCTCACCTCTGGCATCTATTTTTGTGTTGATAATAAAACAAATATCATTTATCAAATAAGGATTAGGTGCTAGACTTTGTTCTGAGCAGTTAAAAATAGCGTGAATCCCTTAGCAGCTGCAAGAGATTATGTTAAAATTCCATTTCCTCCGTCCACGTGGGTGCCAGCCTCATACTTACGACGACCAGACATTTCCCCTCCAGCCTGTGTTTTGGTGGAGACTCGTGTGTACGTTCTGCATTTTGACGCCATGGGGACATTTTGCAACATGCATGTGCAAAAGTGTCCTTTTGGAGTTCATGGCCTTATTTTTCCCCAAAATTCAGGAAATAGTAAAGAGATGCTCACCGTAGTATTTACTAAAATTTCCTAATGTGTTTAAATGCTAATTCAAGGCAATACAAGTTACCTGCTCAGCTCAATTAACAGTTTTCTCTGTCCTTGAGGTCTTTGTTCTGGGCACTGTCACAGTGTAGCAGCACAGTGACCAACATAACGCCCACTGTTAGCCTAGCTGGGCAGAGAAAATACATTAAGTGAATATAGCAGAAGAGACAAGGTGATGTGCCATTAAAGTATAAGTAAAGCACTACTGAGGTGTTTCAGAGAAGGGGACATTTCCTTACCAAATGGGAATTGCGAAAGCAATGGCAAGATATTGAGAAAAAGAGACTGGTTTTGTGGTGTGCCCCTTAGGGTGTCCGTTCCTGTGAGCCTGCACCTGCACAAATGCCTGGGCCCCGGGGTGCTGGCGCCGTGCAGAGGTGGGCCACTGTCAGGTACACACAGTGCAAGGACAGACACGCGTGCCCGTCGGGTGGGCTGTCCAGTTACCGTGGGCAGTCAGGGTGAGGACTGGAGACCAGGCTTTGGGAGGAAGCTATTAAAATGTATTTCTTTCTTTCTTTCTTTTTTTTTTTTGTGGGACCCTCGCCGGTGGCCGGGGAACGAACCGGCGC